TGCTGACAACACCAAGTCAAGGGTTAAGATCTCCTTACTGGTCAACTTTTATTTTAAAAAATCTATGTAGTGCAGTACTTTAGACAATATATTTAACAAAATATACTGAAGTTAGAGTGGCAGTTAATGTCAAAAATCCTGAAGTAAGTCAAACCAAGCTATTTATTATACTAAGTATACATATTCCCTATCCACACTTATGCTGTTCCATTAAGAATTTTTAACAAACATTTTTATGCATAAATGTTGCATGTGAGGTGGCATTCTTTTGCATTGTAGGCTGTTTACCAATATCTGTGTCTTCTTCCCACTCAATGGAGTAGCACCTCCCAACCTTCAGTTATAACAACCAAAAATGTCTTCAGACAAATGTCCCCTCGAAGGTAGCGTCACCAGTCATCTTTAAATATTGGTTAACACTCAAGTGTTAAAAATACTTTCACACTCCATTTATCATTTCTATTTGAAAATTTACATTTATTACATATAGTTTTCTCTTCATTTCAAATTTTAACAAAGTGTTGAAAGTTTTCTTGAAAGCTTTGACACATTAAAGAGATTTATAAAGATATTTAACTTTACTTCCACTCTTCAATGAGCTGTCCCAATAAGAAGTCCCACATCTATTGCATTCTTTCTCCCCATAATTTGATTTTCCCACAAACTGACTTGGGTATAAATGCTGACAACACAAGATTTTCTTCCCATATACAAGGACTGGTAAATTCTCTCAGAAAGTTTATAAAATCATTTAGCTGGACTGCACTGCTTGTGTTGTAATGCAAACAAGGCACACATAAAATGGCTTAACAGGAAATAATTTCTTATATAATGTGTAAATGGAGGATTTGGGATAGTGGTGAGAATATCTCTGGTTTCTTCAATTTCTTCTATTTTAAATTAGGGTGGATTTCTTTCACCTGTGGCCCCCAACTCCACCCAAGAGTCATCTTCATTCAGTTGCAAGGAAACTGAATGAGAAATCAGGAACGACTGAATGGAAACTTTTTAAAAAATTTTTGTTGCCTGGGGCCGGCCCGGTGGCGCACTGCGCTAGTGGGCTGCTTGGGAAGCGCGGCGGCGCTCCCGCCGAGGGTTCGGATCCCACATACAGACCGGTTCCTGCTCACTGGCCGAGCGAGGCGCGGGGGCAACACCGAGGGTTGCGATCCCGTTGCCGGTCCCGGTCCAGTATGGGGGCGACACTGAGGGTTGTGATCCGTTGCCAGACACGGAAAAAGACAAAAAAATAAAAATAAAAATAAAAAGTAAATAAAAAAAAATAAAATTTTGTTGCCTGAACTGGAAGTAACGTTCACCACTTATATCTACATTCCCCTGAACAGAGTTAAATTACACNCTTCCAACTAAAAATCTAGATAAAAGAGGAAAATTAAACCTCCTAAAACAGAAAGAAAATAACAAAGATTAGAGTGAAAAATGAGAAATAAATGATAGTGCTGTACTCTCTTCCTACTGTTACCAGAGATTTGGGGACAGAATAGTGGCAGATGGAAATGACTTCCCTGCCCCAAAAGATCCAAGAGACCCTGCCTCCAACCACACCCAGCAGTTTCTATGCTGGACACCATTTTGTCTTATGTGCTCATACCGCTAGTTGGGGCCTGGGTCTCCCCCACACAAAGGGCTCTGAGGGCAGACGGGGTCACCACAAACTTGAGAAGACTCCTTAGGTGAAAACAGGCTCTAGGGCCATCTCTAGTTCTAGGGGCCTACACACAAGCATAGCCACACACAAGGCAATACACAAGTAGAGTCAGGATTTATCTCTTACTGGCAAGATTCAAAATAGCACTCCATCACCGCAAATAGAAACACAAAAGATTTCTTAGCTATACACCATGTGGTAGACACTCATACCTGTGATGTGGCACCATTTCAAAATATGAGGAATAGGTTTAAAATATAAGTTTCCCTTCCAGACATTCCTTTTCAGTGAGTAAAATAAGAATACTACTGTTCCCAGCTATTTAAATAAGTTCAGCCAAGTTATTTACAATTATGTGCCTGTGAATTTGTGCATTCACATAGAAATGTTTCTATTCAACCCATACAATCACTTTGCATTAGCTTCAATCATCATAAAAAATTACCTTTACTTAGATAGTTTTGTAATACTGGTCATACAAATTTACCTAAAATAGGACAGTAGGAAAAAATCTGGGCTGGCCTGTGGCTCAGTTGGGAGAATGTGGTACTGATAACACCAAGGCCATGGATTTGGATCTCTATACAGGGATGGCAGATTAGCTCACTTGGGAGAGCATGTTGCTGACAACACCAAGTCAAGGGTTAAGATCTCCTTACTGGTCAACTTTTATTTTAAAAAATCTATGTAGTGCAGTACTTTAGACAATATATTTAACAAAATATACTGAAGTTAGAGTGGCAGTTAATGTCAAAAATCCTGAAGTAAGTCAAACCAAGCTATTTATTATACTAAGTATACATATTCCCTATCCACACTTATGCTGAGTTCCATTAAGAATTTTTAACAAACATTTTTATGCATAAATGTTGCATGTGAGGTGGCATTCTTTTGCATTGTAGGCTGTTTACCAATATCTGTGTCTTCTTCCCACTCAATGGAGTAGCACCTCCCAACCTTCAGTTATGACAACCAAAAATGTCTTCAGATAAATGTCCCCTTGAAGGTAGTGTCACCAGTCATCTTTAAATATTGGTTAACACTCAAGTGTTAAAAATACTTTCACACTCCATTTATCATTTCTATTTGAAAATTTACATTTATTACATATAGTTTTCTCTTCATTTCAAATTTTAACAAAGTGTTGAAAGTTTTCTTGAAAGCTTTGACACATTAAAGAGATTTATAAAGATATTTAACTTTACTTCCACTCTTCAATGAGCTGTCCCAATAAGAAGTCCCACATCTATTGCATTCTTTCTCCCCATAATTTGATTTTC